CGTCAGATAGTGTGACGAAAGGTTCAGCACCCTTGAAACAAAGTTTACGTTAGTGCTGTTAAATGCCAGGCAAACAGTATCTCAAATTCTTTCGCTGTTCATAAAAAAGCCAAGTGTGAAGTTAGCCCCGCCCATACATTTTTAATTAAATGAAACCACATGTGATTGTTAGTGCTAGGTTAGTGCTCAAAAATTGCGATTCCAGCATTTCATCTTTTCGAGAAAAAGGAAAAAACTAAGATATTGTGTGAAGTTGGCCCCACCCATGACTCGTTTTAAAAAAAAACTAATACGATCATTAGTGCTACGTTAGTGCTGTTTTGTGCTCGAATATTGCAAGTCTAACGTTCTGCCTTTGCAAGAAAAACGAAAAAAACTAAAATATAGTGTTAAGTAGGCCCCGCCCATCACTCGTCTTTTAAAGAAAAGCACATACGATCGTTAGTGCTCAAATATTGCGAGTCTAACGTTTTACCTTTGCAAGAAAAACGAAAAAAAAACGAATACGATCGTTAGTGCTACGTTAGTGCTCTTTTGTGCTCGAATATCAAGAAAAACAACAAAAATCAAAAAATTGTGTGAAGTGGCTCCACCCATGACTCGTTTGTAAAGAAACGCATATACGATCGTTAGTGCTACGTTAGTGTTGTTTTGCCTTCAAAGATTACGATTCTCACGTTTTTCGTTTCCGAGAAAAAAAAAATTAAAATAGTGTGTGAAGTTAACCTCATTTATGACTCGACTTTAAAAAACACAAACAGCAGCGTCGAGTCTACGTACATGGTAATCCATGGCAGATAATTATTGCTGCGTCATGATAAATTTAATTGTAAAACAGGATCTTTCTCAAAACAAACCGTATAAAATATTAGAAAAAATTGAATGACTTTATTTATCGATCTTGATTGAGCAGATATTCGGGATATGGTCCTTTATCAGTTTCAACTCTCAAAGATACTTCATTCTTAATACAATCTTAACCAAACCTTGTTTCTTTACATTTTTGAAGTTTTAGAACAGTAATCCGAACTTAACTCCAGGAATGTTTTTTATATTACCAATTATTAATGGATCAATAACACACACACAAAATTACATTAAGTAACATAGACCCGTGTGGCGCAGTTCAGTTAAAGCTGGACTGTGGTGCTAAGGGTCCCTGGTTGGATATTTGTAAATGTATAGTGGGTTGGGTTGGTAGAGCAGCCTCGGCTGAAACCCCGCCCACTCAAAAATAAAGGCAAAATAAAATAAAAAAAGAACAGCAAAGTACTTAAAAATACACTTTCAATGAGTAGTACCTATACAGGGTGACAATTTGAAAACTTACCACCCCCCATATCTTAGTAAATAAACGAGATATTTAAAAAAATCAAAATCCGTTTCGGTAATTCGGAGGGGGAATCACAATGACATAGTTGGCGACGCACCCCCTCACACCCCCTGCGCCCTAGCCACCCCAACTTTTAAATCTTAAATAGTGACTCCCCATGTGTGATACGTCGTTGGAAAGCTCTGAAAAAATGCTTTCCAACCATACCAAATAGCATTACATTTAGGTTAGTAATTATCGTGCAAATCAAAAAATAAACATGGAAAATCGTATTTAACTTGAACTTCCAAAGCCGACTCGACAGCAACTCATTTTTGATCGCCAGTTATAATCTATTCTCAAACTCTTGTCGAACCTTTCCAATGTTGGTTTTGCAATATTTCGACATTCTTGAATCATTCTCTGTCTTAGTGCGTCTATGGTCGCCGGTTGCGTTTTAAATACGACAGATTTCAAATGTATCATATTAGTTTATTTTTTGATTTGCACGAAAATTACTAACCTAAATGTAATGCTATTTGGTATGGTTGGAAAGCATTTTTTCAGAGCTTTCCAACGACGTATCACACATGGGGGGTCACTATTTAAGATTTAAAAGTTGGGGTGGCTGGGGCGCAGGGGGTTGGAGGGGGTGCGTCGCCAACTATGTCATTGTGATTCCCCCTCCGAATTACCGAAACGGATTTTGATTTTTTTAAATATCTCGTTTATTTACTAAGTGGTAACTAAGGGTGGTAAGTTTTCAAATTGTCACCCTGTATGTGTAAAATAGTGCAAACTTTCCTGTTTGGTGCAACTATAAGGCTACCTGGTTTACAGTCATCATACAGTTCCCATTCTCCATTTACTCGTTTACAGAATGCTCTATAATGACCAATGTTGGTATTGTCCAATGGAGAAATAAAATTCCATATACATTTTAATCATGGTGTATGTCTTTATTATACACCATGATTTTAACTGAAATGTAAAACCAAATGATATTCCGATTTGGGTGGAGACATCCTTTGTGATTGGAAAATCAACAACAATATGTCCAAATTCCCCAGTTTCTCTGGAGTAAGGGTTTTTGCAACATTTTTTTTATTAAGAATTTCTTGTAGCGGAGATTCTATTGCAATTGACAAGTTTGAAATATTTTCATAAAAAATGCTACTGTCTCCTGTCACATAGAAAAAATTTCTAGGTGTTGATTTGTGTATAAAGAACAACAATCCTTTGTTTCTGGAGGGTAGCATTCATTTAGAAATAATATAACTAATATTGCAAGTACAATCCTATATGTATAATATCCGAACATAAAATATGTTGTTCAAAAATATTTTCTAGTATTTTGCAACAGGCTTTATAGGTTCTAGCGTTAACTTTATTTTCACTTACGCTCTTAATACATATAGTAACCTCACTAATATTTTTGTCAACGATTACTTTATACCTGTCACTGTCACAATATGCTATTAGTTTTTTTTAAACGAGTCATGGGTGGGGCCAACTTCACACAGTATTTTAGTTTTTTTGGTTTTTCTTGGACAGGTAAAACTTTAGACTCGCAGTATTCGAGCACAAAAAAGCACTAACGTAGCACTAACGATCGGTTCTTTAAAAAATGAGTCATGGACGGGGCCTACTTCACACTATATTTTAGTTTTTTTGGTTTTTCTTGGACAGGTAAAACGTTAGACTCGCAGTATTCAAGCACAAAAAAGCACTAATGTAGCACTAACGATCGTATGTGCGGTTCTTTAAAAAATGAGTCATGGGCGGGGCCTACTTCACACTATATTTTAGTTTTTTGGTTTTTCTTGGACAGGTAAAACGTTAGACTCGCAGTATTCGAGCACAAAAAAGCACTAACGTAGCACTAACGATCGTATGTGCGGTTCTTTAAAAAATGAGTCATGGGCGGGGCCTACTTCACACTATATTTTAGTTTTTTGGTTTTTCTTGAACAGGTAAAACGTTAAACTCGCAGTATTCGAGCACAAAAAAGCACTAACGTGGCACTAACGATCGTATGTGCGGTTCTTTAAAAAATGAGTCATGGGCGGGGCCTACTTCACACTATATTTTAGTTTTTTTGGTTTTTCTTGGACAGGTAAAACTTTAGACTCGCAGTATTCGAGCACAAAAAAGCACTAACCATCGTATGTGCGGTTCTTTAAAAAATGAGTCATGGGCGGGGCCTACTTCACACTATATTTTAGTTTTTTTGGTTTTTCTTGGACAGGTAAAACGTTAGACTCGCAGTATTCCAGCACAAAAAAGCACTAATGTAGCACTAACGATCGTATGTGCGGTTCTTCAAAAAATGAGTCATGGGCGGGGCTTACTTCACACTATATTTTAGTTTTTTTGGTTTTTCTTGGAAAGGTAAAACGTTCGATTTGCAATATTCGAGCACAAAGAGCACTAACGAACGTATTAGTTTTTTTTTCATAAAGCGAGTCATGCCTGGGGCCAACTTCACGCAATATTTGAGTTTTTTTCGTTTTTCTTGGAAAGATGAAATGCTGAAATCGCAATATTCGAGCACAAAACTGTACTAATCTAGCACTAACAGTCACATGTGGTTTCATCTAATTAAAAATGTATGGGCGGGGCTAACTTCACACTTGACTTTTTAGGAACAACAAAAGAATTTGAGATACTGTTTGTCTGGCATTTAACAGCAATAACGTAGCACTAACGCCGTGTGCGTTTCTTATTTCGATAAATAAAAGTTGAGTGTGAAGTTGGCCCCCACCCGTTTTTTTAAATTTTTCTCATGTTATATAGCAGCACTAACAATAAGGTTCGAGCACTAACTGTCGACGCATCTTTGTTAAATTATTTCATGTGGGCGGGGCCAACTTCACGTGGGCGTTGCAGGTCACCAAGCCTCAACACACCTAACCATGTAAGGGTATCTCCGGCGCTGAACGGAAGAGCAGACCAGGCTGGCCCAAATGAGGCAACCTGCGCCAACAGTCACCTCCAAACCATCCACCTCCCGTTACCCAACCTTGACCCAAAGGCAGGCTGCTAGAACCGGCAAACAGGTAGGTAGAGAGAAAAAGAGGCAGAGGTTAGATGGCTCAAAACCGACTCAACTGCCGATGAAAAAGGGCAGACCACAGTCCCAACCAAAGACAGGTGTCAGCAAGGCTAGAAAACAGCGCAGTAGCTACAAGCAAATTGCAGAAAGGCAACTCAAAGTAGCAATCATAGACACGGCACCCCGCATCCTTTGTGAATGTCCCGCTCTAGTCCAACTGAGACAATCCGTGTTGGGGGTATCCTGGTCGGCCATGGCTACGATTAGAGCCGCCTCTCACGTGTGGGATGACTAGTCAGAGAGGGGTTGAGGAAAATTTGAGACCAGTAGAGGTACTTATGAAAAGCTTTACTAGAGCTTCAGATGAACAGGAAACCAACTTCTTTTGCCAAAGAAAAATCCGTGTGGGCATGAAGATCTACAAATACCCAAAGAATTTCAACCATGACGAGGAATGGTTACTTTCACCGCTTTGGAAATCTCTTACCTCATTGGCCGATGTGTTACTTTCTCCAAGTGTAGGTTTAACCTTTTCAATGTTCCAGCGTGTGCAGTTTAGTGAACTATTTAGGGTTCATATAATTACTGATACAAAACATTCAATCTTTGATAAGTGGTAACCAACCTTTTCGATTGCCACCCCTAGGACTAATACCCACCTCCTGTATTCGCACAATCCGACTCGCTGTGGAATGTAATAACATTTGGCGCACTTCCTGAAATACTTGGAAAAGTCAAATCATTTGGCGAAGAATCGTCATTCCAAGTATCTCCATCTGTTATTGAAGTGGTAAATTTATGTGCATCTTTATTTGAATGCGCCGCTTCGGCCTGTGAAACTAATTCGGCTGTAAATCGATCTAAAGATTCAATCATGGCGTCAGGATCTAACATACGAGTATCGACGGCTTTTATTTCTAAATTTACATTTCCAAAGTCAAACTCGATATTGTCGGTGATTGAACACAGAGATTCGGGACTAACATCCGAATCTGCAACTATTCGAAAATGTAACAAAAATTGTTTATGTTTTGTGTTAACTTACCGAGCGTTTCACACCCACTCCTCATGGGTTCTATCGATAAGTTCTCTTCGAAAGGCAAGCATTTGTCCCGAGATATATCTGCTTGTATCTCGATTATCGTGCGATTGCGTGTCACTTTTTCTTCGGACTTTTCTATATGTGCGACGTCTGCTGCCGTAGATGGCGTGGTGGGACGCATTACGTTTTTTTCCGCTATCGTGCTCCCGACAGCAGACGTTACATTTACGTTTTTTGAATAAACTAATTTTTCATCTTGATCCGCGAAGTCCGTCTTCCTCTCTCCGTGTCTTATCGATTTGTCATCATAGGTCATTGGACGAATGGAATCAGACTGAGTTTTATTGGCGTTAAATTGTTTGGTAGCCACACCGATAGGTTTAGTGACAATAACCTGCCTTGGCGCATCGACAGTTTTGGGGGCGTGTGTATGTTTACTTTTCGGCATGCCCGATGATATACATTGTTCTAAAAGAGCTTGTTCTTGTTCCAAAGATCCGAAGGAATCGGCACTCAGTGAAGAGAATGATTCCTGTCGAGACAAAGTAAATTCGGGAACGTATGTTGCTGCTATTTGCTCTGTATTTAAAGAACTTGGTCCTGCTGTAGGTTTTGTGTCTTTTACTTCGGTTGGTTGATGGACTGACTGATTGGGTCTAAAAAAAATTACTCAACATTAATATACTGCCAAAAAAGTAGCACTTCTCCCATGAAGGTAAACCACTAAGTTACTTGTGCGTAGTGAACGCATTATGACCTTTGCAATAGTGTCAGATTGTGCATGAATCTACTGATGCACGAAAAGAAAACCACCTGACTAGATTGCATAAAATTGTTAGTAGTTTTCCGAATTAAAATTTCAGAGTTTTGGCGCATGCGCATGAGGCGATTCTGACAACCAAATGCGCATACCTTTTTTTTTGTAAAGTCATATGTAAAATCATTCTGATCATTGTTAGTGTGCCGTCAAGAATTGCAATTAAATATTTTTTTACAGTAGAGTCCCGCGTTGGATGGGACTGAGGGTCGAATTATATGGAACAAAAAAAATCTGAGGTTAGGAGTTAGGACAAATTGTATTCCAAAACTAATTTAGGAGTGAGGAGTCAGGAGGGGTGCAGCAAGGTGAAAAATAAACTGCCTTATTTCATGCTGAATTCAACGCATTTAAGATTTGCGGACCTCTCTGTCATACTTTTTGACATATGTCAATTTCTCTCTAAACATTTGAAGATGCAAGCATTCAACAATTCACATCCCTTAAATCGTTCAAGATCAGTGAATGCTCTTTTTTATAATCGAATCATTAAAGTTTTTGAGGGACTGCTGAAAGTCTTTAATAAGTTTCCAGAATTGCTGCAATGTTTCAAATTTAGAAATCAAAAAATGTCAACATTTTATGGCCATTTATATTTATGTGTGCCTATATCCAGCACTTCTTGAGTAAGAGCAGAGAAAAACTATTGTCTCTGAATATCAAAAAATGATGGGACTTACCAGAAATTCAGCATTGATGGAGGGGAGTGCAAAAACAGTCAAATTGTTGAAATAACAAAAATTGCTAAAAAAAGCTGTTGCGGAGAGGGAGAGTGGGGGAACCCATTGTTCGTCCAGGTGTTTGTTATGGTTACACCTACTGAGCCAGTGTGCGTAGTTGATTTGCTGTGAGTGCCTCATTTTGCCTACAGTGCTCAATTTAGAACAGTGCCGACAACAGGTTATCTCGTTTTTTGATTGGTCGTTGGTTCCGGTCGCCATATTGGAGCTAAATTTCAAACTAGCCAATCGAAACCCTCTCAAACGACGCGGTACACTCCGTGTTATAATTATAAATTATACTGTTTTGCCAGTTCACGCTTCACGGTTTAACATTACTAGTTTACAATTTGCTTTATTTTTCGTTTTCCGACTCCAGTTTTATATAACGTCGTATTTTTCAAGACGCATATAGCTTGGGTTTACAATATTATAAGATATGTAATTCGCTTATGGGCATATGCACCAACAAATTTAAGCGGAGCTTAGTTTAAGCGTTGCTTAAAATCAATAGCAATCATTGTCGCAATAATTGTTGCCATGGATTATAAGCTACGTTCAAACTAAGCCTCGCTTAAATTTGTCGGTGCATGCGGCGATTAAAGTGTTTTTAGATGTAGAACTGTACCTAACCTTAGTAGTGGTAATTGATATAAAAATTGTTCCAAAAGCACTAAATAATGAATTTAAATAGAAAACTAGTAACCCGATCTTGGAACTGTTTGAAATTATGGATTCTACAGGCCACAATCTATAAGAAAATGTTTTTTCCCGGTCGATCTGAGACAATTTTTTTTTCGGACCTCAAAAAAGGCAGTGTATAACCTTCCTTTTTTACCAAAAATCGACTACACCAAAATTTCTCGGGAAAAAACTTTTTCTTATCAATTTTGGTGCGTAGAATCCAAAACGATTCGTACTTTTTCGATTAGACATCTCAGTCAAAAGTTATGGGCAAAAAACCAATTTCGATAAAAAATTCAAAGGGCAGAACTTTTGATCTAGTAGTCCGATCTACGAACTGTTTGAAATTATGGATTCTGCAGGCCTCATTCTATAAGAAAATGTTTTTTCCCGGTCGATCTGAGACAATTTTTTGTTTTCGGGCCTCAAAAAAAGCAGTGTATAACCTTCCTTTTTTACCATAAATCGACTACACCAAAATTTCTCGGGAAAAAACTTTTTCTTATTAATTTTGGTGCGTAGAATCCAAAACGATTCGTACTTTTTCGCTTAGACGTCTCAGTCAAAAGTTATGGGCAAAAAACCAATTTCGACAAAAAATTCAAAGGGCTGTAACTTTTGATCTAGTAGCCCGATCTTGGAAATGTTTGAAATTATGGATTCTGTGGGCCACATTCTATAAGAAAATGTTTTTTCCCGGTCGATCTGAGACAATTTTTTGTTCGGCGCTCAAAAAAAGGCAGTGTATAACCTTCCTTTTTTACCAAAAATCGACTACACCAAAATTTCTCGGGAAAACACTTTTTCTTATTAATTTGTGTGCGTAGAATCCAAATCAATTCGTACTTTTTCGATCAGACTTCTCAATCAAAAGTTATAGAGTAGAAATCAATTTGAAAAAAAATTCAAAGGGCTGTAACTTTTGATCTGACATTTTTTTTAGCTCCAATAAGGCGGATTATGATAAGTTGTCGCCACTGTCCTAGCCTGCATTCATTATAAGAAAGTAGTAGATGGCGCTGTATTTGAAGATAAGCTTGCAAAATTCGCCACTCGTTTTACGTTTCAGCGTAATTTTGACTCGTGTTTTAACCAATCACAGTGAAGTTCAAAGCTTCCCTATGCTTTATACCGCTACCTTGTTAAAATGAATACAGTAAACACAGTCAGTGTAATTTTGCCATGCCAGATTAACGTTCTAAAAATGGAGAAATGACAATTGAAGCCCAGCCCCATTTAGGATATTATATAAATTGACTATTTATAAAGTATGCTCCACATACAACTCCATATCAAATATCAGAGACACCTTCAATTGTTTTCTATTATAGTTGTTCCTTCGCGCACCTATTGTGCGATAAACCTAATAATTTTGTTCAATTGTTTGGGTAGTAACCTGTTCAAACAATAAATGCTACTACTACTATTATTATTAAAGTTTTATCTGGTCAGGTGTTGATAAAAAGTTATTATCGAACAAGAATTAATTGGTTTTTCCACAATGTCACGCGCGAGATAAGCGATGCAAGTGTTTTACAGTTCTGATAATTCAGAATGGAAAATTGCAGACAAGTGACATTTCTAATAAAAAAAGTAATTAAATAACTGAAGTCATTTTCACTTGCATTTACATTAAATACATATCATTTGGAGAATGATGATTGATCTTTATTAAGTGTTACAATAGTTCAATACCATAAGTAAATGCTAAACGTGGTAATGTTGATTTAATGTCTTACCTGAAACCGCCCGCCACACTTCCATCCACAGTGAGATCACTAAGACTAGAATGCAAGGAGAATTGACAAGGGCTGTTTTCGACGGCATAGTTCTCCACTTCATCTTTCGCACTTAAATATACGGACGGTGATGGACGTTTCAGTTCCTCCAATCTCGTGGAATTTGGATGCTCAATTCGTGTAAACGGTTTAATCGGCGTACTGGTTTGAACGTTTCTGACGGGCAGTGCGGATAATGGTCTAGTTGTAGCGATCGGTTTAGTCATCCGGCGTGTTTTGGGCATGGCGGATTGAATACATTCGGCCAGTATATTCTCATTATCTCCGGATAAGTTGCTACTGTCGTCAGACGAGTACACTTTGTCCTTCTTTTGAATATCGCTCGCAGTAGATAAAAGGCTTATATTGGAATTATCCCCTGTATAATTTATATCTTCTGTACAATAGTTGTGGAAAGAATTGGAGTGTAAACTTGATGGATTATCTTTGAGAATTGATGAATCGTTTGTACTGGTAGTGGTTGAACGGGCATGAGGAAGCGGAATACCACTGCCTTGGGTACATATCATTGACTTAGATGAGTAATTAAAAAGCGGAGAAGGTATATTTTGCTGAGAACCACTGAGATGATGCCTGTAACGTTACGAGTCAGGTAAAAGAATTCCCATTTACATACAGACCTATTATTCTGCATTCCATCACTGATACAGGCAGCTAAAATATCTTCATCCTCTTCACTTTCGGAAACCGCCGGTATTTCATCTTCCTTACTTTTTTTTACAACTTCTCCACGTTTGCTTATAGTTAGAATCTTACCAACAACATCACTTCCGTCTTCATGATCGTCGATCGTTAAACTACTAAGACTCGTAGCGGTCGAAAATTGTATGGGTGTACTCTCTTCCTTGAACTTTTTAACGTTATCTTCAAAAGCGCTTACAATCTTTGGTTGGGGTTTTATTTGCGGACTACCATCTGCCGGAGTTCGATGGGTTAAGGGAACTGTTCTGGGTGCCGAGGGAAGTGGCTGCCTCGGGCTTGGTGGTACTGTTTGAGTGGGAGAGTCGGGTAGTTCACTTGGTGATACGATACCGCTCGTTAGGCGACTGAAAATAAATATACCATTTAAAATTGGAAACATTTCCAGGAGGTGTATGACAAAAACTATCAACCCCCACTCCTATCAAAATAACTACTTATACCAGAAAGTTTTAAGTCAGTTGACAGGTATTTAAAATGGGGTGTTACATGTAAAAGAAAGGAAGTGAAAGTTTATACAGTATTTTGGTCTAAATACCAAAAATAATGACTGGACATCCTGTATGTGGTATTATTTCAGTTTATCAAGTTTAAATCTGGTGGATTATGTACAAAATAAGCACAGAGTTGATCTGTTGAATTTGAATATTTTTTTTCCTTTTAGAATTGTTGGTAATTGCGTAATATTTTCTTGTTCAAGCTTTTGTGAATTGTTTATTTAGATTTGCGTATTTAATTGGCAAACGTGAAATTGCGTGCTAAAATGTAATAAACATCTGGTCAAGTTTGCGTACTTTATAATGGGTTTTATCTTGTCGTTTGCGATAAGACGTTTTATTATCAGACGAAATGTAATTAACGCACGTGTTTTATCGCTGTTTAGACGATAAAGGAGATGCAGATTTTACGATGTACGCGTTAGTTCGGAGTAAGTAGGGACGCGTTCCTGCGATGCTGAAGTCATCAAGTCTGATTGTGATTGGCGGTTGAATTTTTGAAATTTTATCGACCGTGTGAGTGCGGGGTATTATATGCAAACAAGCTTTGTAAGTGTTAAGTAAAGAATAAACATCGAGACTCAAAAAAGTGTTTATTGTTCCTGTAGGCTGTCGACTTCGAGCTGGAAGTTTACATTTAATAGGAAAAATGAGTTTATATAAAATTGTTACCGCCAGGTTTAGAAATAGTTATTTACATAAGTCAGGAAAATGACACATTAATGGCGAGGAAATATTGAAGTGCAAGGCCCTTTGGCGCCGAGTACTTTAATTTCCGAGTCAGGTAAAGACTTTTTACTGGCGAGTTTTGTATTAAATTTTACCCGAAACCGTATTTTAATATAAAATTTCAATTTTCATATAGAACTTTTGATTAATGTCAATCTGTCAGTGATGACATGAGTCATTATAGACCCAGAACAAAAAAAGACAGTTAGCAATGTCATAAATGCGGCCGGTAAAGTGACAAGCGGCAGGAAACGTATACTGCATTCATTATAAGAAGGTAGTAGATGGCGCTGTGTTTGAAGATCGACACACACAGGAAAAATATAAAACGGCACAAAATTTGAAAAATATTAATATAAATTAAACGATATCACGCTTGGATCTTTAAAATTGACAGCTAATGATAGTTCGACAGTTTAGTTCGTAATTGAAACTTCAAACAGACAGAATTTGTCACGCGTTTTATTTTTCAGGGTAATACTGACTCGTGTTTTAACCAATCACAGTGAAGGTCAAACTGTCCCTATGCTTTCTACGGCTACCTTCTTAAAATGTCTGTTCTGCCTCTGTCATGGAAACTACAATTTCCTGACAGAAAGTAGGCGTGGAAAAGAAGGTTACAGGGCGATTTTGGGTAAAATACATAAATAACGGTGTCGAGATTGAAGATCATGTTTAAAAAATGTGTTACCTTTATTTACAAGCAAATCAGTAGAGCCCTGAGCCCTGTGCACAAAACAATTAAAAATCGCAGGGTGGTATGTCTGAACTGTAGGGGGATGCTCAATTGTTTCCAACTGAACTTGCCCACTGTCTAAACTGAAGAATCATCGTGGAGTAGAATCCCCGGTTGTACAAGTTCAAAAACTTTGTTAAAGTGAATTTTAATTTTTAGCCAATCAAATTTCTTCATTCTGTAGTGAACTGAAGTCATCGTGGCACAACCAGCCCTATATCCTTATACCCTTATACTTCAATATTTCCTCGCCAGTAATGTGCCATTTTCCTGACTTTTATGTAAAATAACTATTGATCTAGATCAGAAAAAAATAATTCGAACATATATTTAACCAAATTTCTATCACTGTTCATAATGGCCATCCTTATCTCGGACACAGTGTAGGTATAACATCAAAATACAGGGTGTTCCTAAAAATGATGTAAATACAGAAGTTCTTTTATGAGTAAAAGTTCATACAAAGATAGGTCCACAAATGCTTCGTTACCAATCTACAGGGTGTTATAGTTTTAACAGACACTTTACAGTTTAAACCTTTAATTTTGCATGTATGCAAACAATACAATTTTCAATGCCAACTGTAAAAACAAGATATTCAGCCCTGTGATGTATCAGAAACGTCAAACTTAACGTGCAAATTATCTGCCAAAAAACGTTATTTTGCGTTATTTAGTATAGGAAAATGACGTTTTGGACAGATAAACTGCACGTTAAGTTTAACGTTAATAATGATACATCACAGAGCTGATTATCCAAATAATGCCTTTCATTTAGGTATGTAACAAGCGAAAATTGACTTTTTTTTCTCGATAACGATTACAGATACCAAAAAATTACAAGAGCTCAAAAATGATCTATACAAATCAGAAAATTGAATTCTTATTTCACAATCTACCAGTGGCGCAACGAAAAAAATTCAGAGGTAGAAAAAAGAACATATCCCCTGAAAAATCAACACCTTGTAGATTCTCACTAGCATTGACATGACCAATGTTGTAAGCCGTTCAGTGTAACATATTTAAATTTTAGCGAAATATCTCAAAAACTGCAGAATATAATGAATAAATTTAAAAAATCTTGTAATTTTAACACCCTGGTAACGAAACGTTTGCGGAACTGTTTATATCAATTTTTAACCATAATCATAAAAAAATCTAAAGAAGTAGCTCCTTCCATTCATATTTAGGAACACCCTGTAAAATTTAATTCATACTTACCACCCAAAATCATAGACCATTAAAGAAACTTTCAATGCTACAGCTTGTGAAGTTTTTCAAATAAGAGGTATATGATCAAAACTTTTGTTCAAGTTCATGACATGTTAATAAAATAACTGTCAAATCAAATGTTTTCAGTCATACCAACCGTCAAATTAAAAACTATCAAATTAAAAAGTGATAGGTATAGGTTATTTGAAATTTCAAGTGCGTTCGATTTTCCGTTTCAGAAGTGTAGAAGAGCGTTGAAAAGGTCAAGTGATCATTGGAGAATTAATAACTGTACAATAGACGGGCACCGTAATGGATAGAGCATCTACATAACCGCTACATTTTGTATAGCTTTACATCAGACATGTGCAGCAGTAATGGATAACATGGCGTTTTCTACAAAAAAAAATTTGCGGCAGAAGCCCGAAATTTTGCACAATGTTAACTTAAAGTTCACTTCATTTCGGCGAAATCTCAGGTTATGTTATTTATTTTTCGCCATTCTCGAGTTGGTGAAACTGAAAATTGTGATTATTTAGTCAATGTTATAGCACTCATGAAAAGAAACCAAAAAGCCTTAATAAACAAAGGTCCGCAAATTCAGTGTTTCAGAGAGTAGATTTTGTATCATCTTCAACAAAACAGTGTTGTTTCTTAATGTAAAATATTTAAAGAAGATGCTCTAAGTGTACTCCATCGTTTTGGGCACAGGTTGCACATCTTCATTGAAAGGAAGCTCATATTAGTTCTAAAAAAATCACACAAAATCAACTCTGAAACAGTTTATTTGCGAACCTATGTTTATTAAAACTTTTTTGTTTCTTTTCAGTAGGTACTATCCGCCCTTTTTTTTTAATATCCTGTATACAAAGTTCACCGGGATAGGCGATACAACGTTCATCGGGTCTGCTATTATCTATACATTGCTGTGTTATTTCGTCTGGCAGGACGAAATTTTGGGATTCATAACTAGGATGGACAAGGGCGGTTTCCTGTTTCCATGTAATCAATTTTCTTAATTTAAATTTTTGTTACTGGACCAGAAAGTTTTGTTCCGAGAAAGATAAAGGTTTGAGCTAGCTACGTTTGTTTAGGTGTTTTGTGTACGGTCTTTTTGGCCTACGGACCGGTGCACACAGCAACATATAAAAATTAATGTTTTTTATGCCTGTCTAAACCATTCATATAATTGCAATGAAACTTTGGGGAATGGTCGGACCTTGAGTTGGATGTGTGCCGGCGAACGTTTCCGAGTTAATAAAACACTTTCAGAAATTCCCACGGGAACGGACACAGGAAAAAATAGGATTTTGTTTCACAGAAAAAAGCTGTATATGCCAAATTTCTATCAAGAAGGACCCAAATTTCACATCATTCTCAAGTTATACATTTTATCCTTTTAGGCGATGTGACTAACCCCTTAATAAGTTTAATAGCATGGTGTAATATATTTAACCTTAATTTTTATTCCCATACTATCAAAAAAGCATCAAATGCACTGATCTTTCCAAGATTGAAAAAAGACTCCTCTATAAATACGCTGTTTGATTGTGATTGGTGCATTTTATTTGAATTTTAAATTTCGCCAATAAAATAATCGCAGGCTTTAATCAAATGATTTTTTTAAAAATAACTTGACTCATATCAACGTTGACAGAAATGATAGGATTCCAAAATAGCTGCAGTTAACTTGCTAAAGCCACCTCCTGTAGTAGTGATAGTTATTTTGAGAGAAGGGGTTTTTGAGCAGATGAGTTGCTTAAACTTACCTGAAATCTGATATTACAGACTCTCGATCATCATGTATTGAATGTTGTTCGATACTATCCAATGACGCTAACGAGCTACTTCGCGAAAACATAAGCGGAGTTTCCTCGGCGTAATTCACAACTTGCTCGAATTTAACAGCTTTTCCTTCTGGATGCACCTCACTCTTTTGTGGAACAGTATCATCATGAACCTCCTGTCTCGTGTCGACCTCCTTATTATCCAATTCGTACTTCACCTTATCCCCAACTTGCATGGAATTCAAAGAACTAAAGCTACTCACTCGTGAGAAATACCCCGGAGTACCCTCGTCGGCATAATTAACCGGCTTTTCTGGAGATGCTAAGCCCGAACTAAATTGCGATTTAAGATTCTTAGTAATAACTTTCGGTGCATTATCTATTTCAGAGACATCTTCCACAGAGCAATGATCCTTTTCGTCGGATTGTGACATTGACGCGTTCTTGATGGAATTCAAGTTCGACTTGACCAATTTATCATTATCTATAATAGACTTCTCGGTTTCTAACCCGGTCTCGCGCAAATCTGACATAGAAGTTGCCGTGGAATAATTGAAGGGCGTTTCGTAAGGAGTATCTTCGGTGCAATACGTCTTAACGGTATCTTGAACGAAATCCGTCCCTTCTGCCTTCTTATTACACATATCGTCGGGTTCCGAGTCATCTTCGGCGTATCGCAAGGAATAATCTGTGGGTTGATCTAAATCTGTCTCGGTGTAAATTCCGAAATTTTCGTCATCTAGGACCTGCGAATTTTGACTATATTGTTCTTCTTTGTACGACAAATCCGAGTATTTGTGAAGGGGAGAAGAGTAAGATAGCGGCGGTTTAATGTAGGGTAAACTCGAACTACCGTAATCTTGTAGGACTCTAGATCTATTTGAGAAACTTGTCGAAGGTTCATCGATCGTTAAATTCTTAAAGGCCTCAATGAGACTGCTGTCGTGAGAATCGTTCTGCAAGGATTTACGTTTGTACGTTTTATTAATGTCACCATTGTTGCTAACGGTTAGTACTGCATTGGCGGTTTCCAGTAGAAACTGCTCTTCTTGGCCAGTTTTTGTGGGTGATTCTTTGTCTGTACTTTCAAATGTTTCTGTTAGGTTTTGCTCCAACTCTTGAAATAAAGCCTTTTGCTTACGAGCGCCTAAAGTGGGTAACACAGGTAAATCCATGGCTTTTGCGGTTGCGTCCATGGATGGTAACAGATTGTGAGTCGGTCTAGACGCCAGTAAGTTTTTTAGAGCTGCACTCGATCCCATAGCAATCATTTTGTGCTTGGAATGATTTAAACTGCGGAGCATCGTAGGCGCTCCCATTTTCCACAGGGTCTCTTGATCCGTTTGATTTTTTGCGGATAGGTTCCATAATGTCCCGCAGGCATTACTTACAATAGTTAAACTAGGCGATTTCAATTGATCTAATAATACTCTTAAACAATCGTGATTTCGTAACAGCTCCCGATAATCATCTCGCACAGCAATTTGACTGGAAACGTTTCTTAAGATACCACCTGCATTTTCAATTATAGCTAACGATTTGGTCGGCGATTTATAGCTCAGCATAGTCACTAAAAATCCTAAAGCTCCATCTATTGAGCATATCTCTGACTTGCTCTCCGGACAATGTGCCGAAAGATTCCAAAGAGCGGAAAGAATCGACTTCAGAGTGTTTTCCTTATTGTTTATCATAGCCGCCTTCATTAGACCCGTAACTGCGCCGACCTCCTTTAATATTTCTTTACTAGTTGAATCAGCACGCCACGACAAATTTCGTAAGACACTGGCAGTCACCTGAAAAGTCATACACAATAACTACATGAGAATCGACGTTAAAAAAGCATCAGGCCTACCTGTCTTAATTCGTCGCATGGACTCTGAAGCTGTAGAACTAAAACCCGCATAAATTGTCGAAAAGAACACAACAAAGCCTTATTGCCACTATCACCAAATGTGAGATTAGTGAGAGCCATGCACGAATATCTACGTAATAACACACAGTGACCCTCCTCGGAAGTGCTTCCATGAAGTGCATGTTCAGTCTACAAAATCCATAAAGGTAATATGTGACAAAGGTTGCGGTACAGGCTTACCAAGCTTACAAAAGCAGTAATTAACAAATATATTTATTTATAAAGCCAGTTTATTTGTACACGCTGTCCCATTAATAATGGTCACAGGCCATATCTATGGAAACGTTTAATTGCAGCGCTTCATGAAAAAAATTATGTTAACAAAAGGAGCCAAAAGAAATCGCTGGAAATTATTTTCAAGTTTTTAGCTTCGCCGCTAGAGGGCGTACGATTCATGTTTAAGTAGAAAAATGACTTCTAAAATATACCCAACAAACATGCATAAAAAATAAATGCATAGCAATCTTGTATCAATTTTGCATCATTTTGATGCAGCACATATTGCTCTAGGTCATAAAATATGAGGGCTGTAGGAAGGGGAACAATTCATTAAGGAATTGAATGTAACTTCGGTTTAAGTTAACAGATTTTCACATAATAGATCTTGTTGGAAGGAGCTCTCTTCGTGGAATCAGATTTTACATGAATAGAATCGTTTTAGTAAATGTGATGAGTGGTAGAGGGCGCGATGTGACATTAATATAAACTTTGCCGGTTTTTTTGAAAATTTCAAATGGAACGATATAATTATTAAACTACCCCTATTAGAAAAAAATCGTATAATTGTAAATTAAAGCGGATAATTGATTCAAATCATCTTTTAAAAGAGTGAATAAATATCAATTAACATAAAACAACATAACTTAAGATTTTATCACAGTTTAACCCCAAAATCTTACCTCTAAAATAGTTATAATTAAAACAATGCCATAGAATACTTTGACTCCACTGATTTGCATGGAAATTTGGATTTAGGTTATTCTTACCCTCCACATATAATTGTAAATTCAAGCAATATGGGATTATTTAATTATACAGTAACATTAAATTTAGATTTCTTTGCTATTTTTATTTTTTACCACCCTTAATTTTTAAAGGGTTGTAGTTGAAAGGGCTCGAATGAGTCACTAATGACGAGTGTATGCAAACTTTGAACAGCCATATCTTAACCAATTTTTGTTTTACAGAAAAACAAACAGCTACATTTTTTTATTCTTGTAGATTTTTCGTATCACTAATACTTTTGAAGTTATTTTGAAAAAAGAGGCAATTTTTCAATTGCAATTGGGGTGCTAATTAGGGGGTGATTTCCTCGATTTTTTTTATCAAAAAAAAGGACCAACTTTATTTTGAGCGCAACTCACTTAGTTTTGATCTTAAAAACGAAAAGTGCTTCATTTTTTGGTTATTTCACGTTGAAGTACTCGATTTGGAATTTGCTGAATGAGAACCTACTTTTCATGACCTACAACTTTGCTTCTACTGGGTCTACAGACTTCATATTAGACCATTTTGTTTGTTATTTTATAAGCTATATTTTTGCTAATAATACTTTTTTCGATACAATACTTACTTTTAGAGTTATTTGCGAAAAACCGTCTGAAAACGTGGTTTTTTTGTTGAAAAATGAACATTTTCACTCGCAAATAACTCGAATACTATTGACTTAGTGAAAAAACTCTATAGAACAAAAGTTGCTTAGAATTGCTCAATTTATCAATTTCCGGACTTATTTTGAACGTATCTTTTTTCCCCCCGAGAAGGGGTGGCATTCACCCCCCAAGTAAAAGCAACCCTGGGCTTAAGTTCACCTTTGAAATAGAGGGTAAGAGGAACCTGAATTCCAATTTTCAAGCAAATCCGTAAAGGCGCGAAAAATTACGCGCCAAAACGGTCATTTACTGGCCTATAAAGGGATGTTCCCCTTCCCTCACCTCTCATATTTTATGAGCTAGAGCAGTGGTTCTGAAAGTGGGTGCCGCAAGCACTTCATAAGGGGGCCGCGAAATTTTTAAATTTTTACTTAATAAGCTTAAAATTACATAAATTAAAAATGGAATTAAAATAATTATAAAAAATGAATATTCGTTTTTTATTACAATTATATTTTTTAGTTTCTATTTCTATGGTTCACAGTTCATTAATCAATCATATTCTGGTATTGCAGTACATCAGACTTTCTTAATCTTATAACTTATATTTGGGGTGCATATAGGGTGGTAAGGGGAATCGAAAACGTCTTATTTTGGTTTTGATCCGTAACCATCTTCAAGGTTGTCGAGGATCATAACGGCTTGAAAAATTTTTTTTTATTTTTTTCGCATACACTAGCCAAAATGGCTTAAAAAACTCTAAAAAAAAGTTAATTACAATTTTTTTGTGAGTTCCTTTGTTTTTAAGAAGTTTTGAATTGAAAAGTTAAACTATTTATTTTATTTTTCTAAATTTCATTTTTCTCTAAAAGTAAGCATCAGAGTGAAAATGTCAATTACAAAAAAGATGTCTTGATGAGGTCTACAAAAAAGGCTTGTACACTTTTTGCGTCGGGTTCAAAATGCTAGAGAGCATTTTCTAAATGTTATAATATGGTCAAAGATAATTGCAATGACTATTAAAAGCAGTCGGAAAGTCAAGTCAGGGGTTTATCTGACCACTAGTTTTAAATGCTTTTGTATTTAGAAATTTTTTTGATAAGACTTCCCATCCTTCATCTCTTTACAAAGAAAAATAAGTTATGGCATGGATATTCTCATAAATAAGAAACTTAGCAGTGCGCAATTAAAATTACGAAGAAGCCTAACCTTATGGAAAGAAGAGGTTCACTTAGTCAAATACACGGGGTTAGGGAAGTAGATTCCACCAAGGGACCCGATACTTACCGAAGAATATCCCCACTTTTACAAAGAAATAATTAATTCAGTTGCAATGTGCGGCGTTTTTACGCGCTTATGGTCTATTTTAAGATATTGTATGCCTTCTTTATATTTATCCAACCTTGATAATAAGGTTAATTTGTTGGCTGGTTTTTTCTTTGCGAGTTCTTTTTTCCCCTGCCTATATTTTACTCCGTGAACTACCATTTTCACTTTATTCTGATTAAATTTCCTTTTTTAAAGCGTGTACTCGTTTTACTAGTGTCCGTTACTTAAACCTCACTCCGATAAGCAGCACATATCTTGTACTTAGTATTTTTTTCTAGTATTTTGTTATTCAGGTTGGGTTGCCTAGACTATCATGTGTCACAGGGTATATGTATGCTAAAGTATATTTAGAGTTTTGTAAGCTTGGTAGCATTTCAAAATGTAATAATAAAAAAATAATCACACCTCAATAAGATTGGCGATCGAATGAATACCACCCAATTGGCAAATCGCCTGCCGATGACCTTCGTCGAACGATAGTTTCATTAAATGTGCAATCGTTTGCACAGGATGCTTATCGCCGTCTAAAAACAAGTAATATTTTCCACTAAACAAAGAGAATTAACTCGGTTACCTACCTTCCGATATTGTTAGAATTTCAAGATCTATATCGGTTTGATTGTGCATGTATGCGGTATATGTGCGTATTTGTTCTAATAATTTAAGTACCCTAGTTTCACGTTTTCGTAATTTCTCGTCGCTATTCGAATATATTAAATTATGTAATGCTAAAGATGCCTTCTTACGAGTGTCCGCATCTCGATCCGATTGAACCAATTGAACTAATAGTGGTATACAACCTAGAAAAGAAACAAAATATATTCACTAATTCATGTCGCAATATAATGCCTTGAACTGGCAATAAAACTTAATTATTAACCCAAAATGCCTACCTGATTGTCGCATGGCTAGGCAACTTTCAGGACTAGTACTAAGTGCTAATAAGGTTTCCCCCATATCGGCGTGTTCCTGCCCGCCCAAAATTGAAAGGAGACTGTAAACCATGTCCACCTTCGCCTCTAACTGTTGGGAAGACCTTCGTGATCTATCTGGACTACTTAAGACACGATCTAAAGGCGCGCCACCTGAGCTTGACGCAAAACTCATTACACTTGTCATCTCCTGCAAAAAATAACATTTTGATTCAAATGCGGGGAATTAACGAAACTCACTGTTAAAAATAAACCCCTCAATACTTACTGTTCTATTGCAATCTGCAGATGGTGCAAGATTTGTTGGTTCTGAATTCCACATCGTCTTCTCCACTGGCCATGTTCCGTGATAAAGCACAGACATGCCTCTACCCTCGTGCGATATGGGTTCACTGCTAACTGAAAGCTGAGCGCTTGATACACCGCCGCATTCATCCTCGCTATCCTGGATGCTTCCAATTCTATCGTACTAAAAATCGAGGCTCGATTATTGACACACCAAAATGAACATATCGAACCTTTATTGGATGCTTCTGTCGTTCTATAAGCGATTCCATCTTATAGTTTAGCGAATATGGAGCAAAGGAGGTCGGTGGTCCATCTTTAACAGGCTGTAAACACCAAAAAGTTATTATGAGTCAATTTGAATAACGCAATTCCAAATATAGACTTCTTTGATGGTAAATAAATAATTCAAGATCAATGGATGACGTAATCGTGAATATTTTAATGCTGGTGTCAACGTTCTTCTTGTTTACCTTACTCTCATGTTAACTACAATGCATTACGATAGCGTGCCAATTGTCTACTACATAAATCAACCAGAAAATTAATTTTATAAATGAAAGCGCAAATGGGAAACTAATGTTTGCGATCAGTGTTTTGTCAACAGGGCTATTAATAAAGACGCTAGGACACAATTAGCTTTGGTAAATTTTTTTGCTGTCATAAAAGACCTAATACACTGTGTTCACAATCAAATCGAAGACGGTGCGACGTTCATTTGATCACATTTGCTAATTATAACGGCGTAAGTACCCAGTCCAAATTATGTTTTTTATTATTTAAACAAGACATAATCCTATTACAATGCCAGATGGGTATTCGCCGCTTTATCTGCTAAGTTTCAAAATTTGGGAGTTACAGGGTTAGAATAAATTCGCGATTGAAACGTAATTCCATCTTGAAGTTTGGAATGCTTTGGTAGCTTTAAATTCCAATCTGAAATCCATATTTTCGAAGCATAGGCCACAAGATATCATTTCAAGCATATCTTGAAAACATATCTCAATGAAGTTAGCCACCCTGCACCGTACACTGTTTTTAAATAACGTTGGAATTTGAAAAAAAAGGAAAAGAAATTTGATTTGGCTCAAAAAAGCACCAATATTGTTTCTTTTTAGTCAAACACACCGTATAGGTTGGTACTTCGCTAGCGTGATTTATTTCGCACAAATTCCGCCGGAAATGGAATATTATCTTCTTCATTTTTTCGGTGCAATATATTCGCTCCATGCTATAGATGGCATACGACGACTCTGTTTTAATTTACACCAATTCTTTATCATTTACTTTATATGTACGTTTTACGCACCTATATAAACCGCTGTGTAGCTCAGTGGTAGAGCGTTGGGCTACATAACCGGAGATCGGGTGTTCGAACCTGGACCGAGGTAAGAATTTTTCATCTGTGACAGAGATGGGAATTTCCATTTGGAATAATAATGACAGATGTCATTAGAATGCACCGTCATCTGTTTCACTTAATCTACCCTTACGGTTAAAGTGATCACTTAATCTATCGTTACGGTTAAAGAACGGCTTAGCCTACTCATTCAAACCTATGTTGAAAAAATTTTTAAAATTTGGAAATGTTTCCCAAATGTGTCTCCAGTTTTAAAAACATGTAACAATTTTGAAAATGTTTAAGACATTTTGGAAATGGTATAAAAACGGTAATTTTACATTTTTCAGAAGTGATATAAATACGAAGGAAATGTTTCAAAAATGTGTCTCAAGTGGGAAAATGTGTAGATTTTGGAAATATAAATAAGATAAATACAATCGGAGAGAAACGAATGCCATCCAGTCTTCAAGGTCATAACGAAAGGAACTCCCACTCTCTCTGATCCTTCGTAAGAGAGATCGGTCATCATTCTTCAAATATATAGAGAACAAAGTGTCGGAAGAGGGTACTTACAAAGGGTTGATGTGGATCACACGCATTAGTTGGTCAAATCTTAAAATGCGAATATCTGGAGAGCCATAAACAATGACTGTGGTTTACTTAAATTTTGTTTTACAGTTTACATTTCGTGCACACATGCATTTGCTGCGAATGTATTTTATTATAATTTAGTTTATTATTTATAATAAAGTTAATCAAAGAAAGAGCTTTTGAGCCATATTTTATCTCTAAAACTCAACGTTCAATAAGTTTGGATGTTAACCTTTGAGCATACTGTTTGTACCCTTGGGAAGCTCCCCATTCGGAAAAAGAACCTGATACACTTTGCTTATTTATTTTACATTCGTGCCGATGGCGCGCGCCATAAATAATTAAACAGACGAATGAATTTATGTGAATTTGGAAAAAATAAATGCCGCTAACGTATAAAACGATGTATGAATTTTTAAAAATTCGCTTATGCAGTAATTTAGCAACCGTAAGGGGCATCTGTCGTAATTGGTCGATAAAATACGGAGGCCAAGGACGACGGCGTTTCATCCCCTACCCACTTTGCAAACTAGCGAAAAGGTTAAACGCGCGGAATAAAAAATGTTATGCATAATTTATAACCTAATAGCTCGTATCGCATTTATTAAATAAAACAACAATAGAACAGGCACGCGATCAATAATTAATAAGTACCGAGTACTAAGAGGTTTTTGGCCCCTGCTTTGAAGTAGTTTTAAAACAAGGAAATACAAACAATGATTTTGCAAGCATTTATTTTTGCCATGGCGTTGATTGAATCAATAATATTTTTAGAACGTCGCTGTGAAGATAAAAAAAGAATACGCTAGACAGTGGTGCGCAAATTGGGAAAGCGAAAGAGTGGTTTTGTAACATCAATTTAAACATCGCAATTAAACAAATTATAATTAGCAACTGGATGGAATATCAGTTTTAGACAATAACGATTTAGAGAAATGCTACATTTTTAAGTTTTTGTTTTATTTAGCTATTTACATATGTTGAGTGTCTATTTACTGCTACTGCCTGCTGTATTTTCTACGGGTCTTAAAAAATAAAAATGTGTATATTTATTATTCGAGTTAGAAACCCCCTACAGAGAGATTAAGAAGCTACCTGCTTTTGAGGGTGCCTTTTAACCATTTAAACAAATTTTGGGACGTCAAAACATATTTTGAGTCCTCGAGTTGGATTCGAATAAAGGTTTTGTTCGTGTGGGATCGAAATGAATAAAACTAGACGTTTTTAATAAAGGTACTTATAGCCTTATTAAATATTGGTGTTACATGCGTCACAAATACCCTTTAGCCCATCGCGCGAGTGCGGAGGATTTGCCTCAGCCGGGGGATCATCACTCTAGCACAAAAATGTACAATGTGTAACATACGTGTCACCGGAAAACTAGTATTAATTGCAATTCAAAGAGGGAATGCAAGTTGCATTATGGGAACTTTCAACAATTCTTTCAGGATAGAAGAAATTTTTTATTTACTTTAAATATTGTTATTGAAATTATTTGTTAAATGCGTTTTAAATTAAAAAAAAAAAAGAAATCGCTGATGAATTCTAAACGTTGAAATCAGAACTATGGTGTATTTATCAAAGAGGGCTGTTTCACGCAAACCCTTACGTAAAAGTATTCAGGCTCTCATTGATGATTTCACTCTGAAAAATTGCATACCAACATGATCTATTGTAAGAAAATATTATATTATATATAAAATAATATAAAATATAAAAATATAAATATTTTATATTTCACCTCCGCTTTTACCTGATGTGGAATAGCAACATGTATTTAATTGTGTTTGCGAAATCTATATGAAAACCTACGTCGTTTGATGCCACATTTCTCTTTATAAATTGGGCAAACTGAGAGATAAAAAAAATTGGGCAATTGTTTGAATTAACGCGGTTGCATCACAAATGGTGGTACGTAAATTATAATTTAAATTTTCGCAGCCTTTGGCTAAAACCCCGCTCACTTAAAAATAAAGCCCAAAATAAAATAAATAAATAAAATAGTTACGAGTGACGACCCAAAATTTGCGTAGTTTTTTGTACGAAATCCAACACCTACCTACAATTTCTATTCTACAGGGTGTTTTTTTGGGAGTTTTAGTTAACGTTTCTGGGAAAGTAAAAAAGGTAGGTTTTTGAAAATTTGTACTTAGGAGTTACGCTGAAGCCCGAATCGATGTAAAATATATTCAAAATGGCCGCACTTCCGGAAACCCCGGAAGTAGATAGTAACTTCGTTATTTTAAATAGCAACCCCAATTTTTTATTGGGTTTTTGGATTCTACGTGAAATTTCAGTTCTTTTGATACCCATATGTCGATATCTGTCATTTATGGTTTTTAAGTTATGACAACCTATTTTTATCAGTGCATATAGAATGAATACAGCTTTCTTTTAGTGTACTTAAAAAAAAGTTAAGTTGCGTAAGACCGCCCCTATGGAGATCCAAATTTATGAAACTTCAAAGACTAAAAACTCAGTTTTTTTAAATATTGCATGAGATAAAGAATCGAAATGGGCATATTTTGACAATACATGTTCCTATAGCTATCTTTAACAGTTTCTAACTTATTCCCATTTTATTGAATTGACACTATTTTTTTCGGATTTTCTTTTTAGTAGTCGGCCATGATTTTATAACAACTGAATTTTAAACCATTTTAGTGACACTAATCCATCACCCACTGTTATAGGTTAACATAAGTTTTTCAAAAATCGAAAAATGACTCGCAGTGGTTTCACCTATTTTGGAATTTCATTGTTATTTATGGTGAATTTATGGAATCGCGGCACGTGCTTGCCGTACATTCATTCGAACACTGGAACGAAATTGTATGAATTTTGGAAATGTTGTACCCCCAAATGCACTACAAACCGTTGACGCACAAGTGATACAAAGCTCTACAAGAGAATATTTAAGAAAATAAATTGAATTGCAAATGCAAGATTAACAAAATAAATTCAATGTAAATATAAAAAACTTCGTTGAGACATTTTTTGTATGGAATTGTTGCTAGAACAGATATCGCATTACCTCTCTGAATTTTCAGACTTATACGTTGTTTAGAAATTCAGTTGAACGACTCTGTCTAGATTTCTAAAAAATTTTCCGTCCTATATCCTTAATAAATGACTTATTTATTAATGAATTATTTAGACTAGAATCAATGATCTTAAAAAAAGCCTTTCCTTGATTTGTTTAAAATTCGATTGTTATAAAATCATGGCCAACTACTAAAATGAAAATGCGAAAAAAAATGGCATCAATTCAATGAAATGGGAATAAATCAGAAAATGTTAAAGATAGCTATAGGAACATGTAATATCAAAATATTCCAATTTCGATTCTCTATCTCAGGCAATAGTAAGAACATGGTCATTCCATTAAAAAAA